ACTGATCAATACGCGATAAGTATTTGTTATATTTTTATTATAACCGTAAATAACATTTTGCAAAATTTTCGTGAGGTCACATAATTAAATTATTTGTAACTATATTATATATATTATGAGTATAGTATGCTAGTTTTATGTACTCAAATGCGATTTTTGTAGTATACACCACCACTACTTCACTCAATCATACACCACAACTATTCGTAATACCGACGCAAAATTACATGAAATTTAAGATTGTAAAATCGGAATGTAATTTTCAACCCACACCTTATACCATACTGATTTGGTATTTTACATATTTAGCCTAACAATAGTAATGGATAAGCTCATGATCGACTCGATTCATTAAATATGTACATTGTGATCACGAGCTTTGAAAATAGCGACATATGTACTGCTGTACTGTATTTACCTAAAATAACGCCCTGAGCTTATTAATCTAACCATAATTTTTTTTATTTTGGTGTCGCAGAATTCGCAGAATGAAAATCTAAAAGCTTTCATTCATTTTTAAACAATCTTCGGCCAACTTTAATATTAAAATTGCATACCTCTAAATAATGCATCGGGCGCTATTTTTGGTTAACAAATGCAGTACGTATTACGCTCGGCTTTTTTTTTGATTAACGCTAATGTTCCAATGTATGACTGGTAATTGAAATTCGGTATACGTAACTTGTAACAAATATACAGTTTAAGTGTTGGCGCTTAAACGCATTCTATCGCTATTGTTATTGTTAAACTTAATGAAATGAGAACTTCAGAAGAAGAAAAAGATTACGAAAAAGTTCAAAATGAAGACTATTCAAATCCTCCTACTAAGAAGGAATTAATAGGGTGGTATTTTCATAATTTGGGTGTAAGTGTTTTCATTCCATTTTTTTACGAATGTGGTTAAAATGATAAAATCACTATAAGTTCATCCTAATTGAAGTTAGATTAAACGGACGTCTGGATATTATGAGTGTCTACATAGTATTAGATGAAAATAAAGTATTGTACTAATGTTACTGATTGATTGTTATTATAATAGGTTGGTGTTTACGATGTTGCTGCGATAACAGGTGAATTTCTATCTAATAATAAGTTCTTGCGCATAGACATTCATATGTAATTTTTATTACTCGTTATTTCGACAATAGTATTTATTCCTGTGGTCCTAGAAACTCTTTCCGCTCAAGCTGGATATGAACTCGATCAAGTGACGCCCTGCAATACTGTAGGTTACAACTTTAATCTTAAAAGTTTTACTACAAAAAATTTTCGAAAAACGTATCCTAACTTTCTTCAGACCATCGTTCCGACAAATGCTGGTCATTCCCATAAAATCTTGATAATTTTCGGGTAAACATCGGATTATTCGACTTATAATCTTTTGCACTTCGTTATAATTAGAAACCGAATCTCATCCGGATTTAATTTTTACCGGAATTCATCAGGATTCTATGGAAATGACCGAGAGTTTGTATATGGTTTATTCCGGAAAAATGAGTATTTTCCGGAACATTATAGTCCGGAAAAAGTCAGGATACGTTCTACGTTCTTCGAAATTTTATAAAGATTTATCCGGCATTATAATTCTCGAAATTTTAAATTCCAGACGGCCATTTCACTCATAGTTCATAAATGAATTGTTTAATAGACGTTTTTGTGAGCGTAATACTATTAGAGAAACTAGAGATTAGAATTGATCGAAAGTTTTTTAATATATGACGGATAAATTATCTGGTGATTTGATTTGGATTCTTAAAAGATTGAGTTTGTTATTTGAAAAAAAAAAATCATTGATGCTCGAAACATTTCAAGCTTGTGCCAAATCATTGCTCGAAATTCATCAATTCCAATCTCTAGGAAAAATGCCTGGATCGTCATAAACTGACAATTACTGATGATAATAGTATTTATATCAATTTAAATGAATTTTCCAACTTATAGACAGTTACCAATTATAAATGCGTTACACGTTTCGGTGAAAGTTTTATCTACACTGAATCATATTCATTATATATGATCTCAATATCTGTATTATTTCAAGCGATTCTATTTATTAGTTGCGGTTCTCTGGCTGATCATGGAAGTATGTCAAGACTCAATATTTTTTACTGCACTAGCACATAGAGAATGTCTGAACTAGGGTGGTTGGCAAGCTGCGAGGCGAGCTTTTTTTTAGCTCGCCAAATAGTGGCCACTATTTGGCGAGCTGAAAAAAAGCTCGCCTCGCCAGCTTGCCAACCACCCGAGTCTGAACATTAACTTATTTTATGATTTACATGTAATTTTAGATTCGCGTAAAAAATTTCTTTTGTCTTTTTCTTTTGTTGGCGCACTTTCGACAATTGCATTTATAACTGTTGTTAATCCTAGTGAGTATTCTGAAATTTTCTACAATTTTATGATAAGCAATATCTATTTAATTAAAATTTCTATTATATATGCAAGAATTATATTGGTTAGCTGGATTATTTACTATTATATCGTATGTACTTATTTTACATTAGATTCCCAAATTTTCTTTATTCATAATATTTTACATTATAATATTCAGAAATTGTTGTTACGGCGCTGCATTCCTCTTCTTCCTAGCGTATATTCCAATATTTTCTCGATGTCATTCGGATGTCATAAAAGCAAAACATTCTGGCGCATCTTCTGCTGAAATCAAAGCGTTGGAAGATAAAATTGCCACACAATTATCTTCTTATTCAATGGTTGCTGATTTTACTGGTGGTTTGGTAGTATTAATTGCAGGATTAGGAATACTTTTAGCAATGAATGACTTGACCGATTCGATTGGTTTTCGGCTTGCTTTAGTACTTTGTGGCGTATGGTGGCTGGTGAGGTATTAATTATTACAGTATATATCATTGAAAAATAAAGGTTCGAACTTATGATAAATGTGTTTATATATGATAAATTATTTAGTTTTTCCTTATTTTTCCCACAATGTGGTTGACTAGTAGACCTAGGCCGCCCTTACCTAGGTAATTTTTTTGAATATTTTTTGCATGATATATTTATTATAATATTCTAATATGCTCTTCAATTACTTGTAATAGAGATGTAAATTATTTCTCATATTCATGGAAACGTGTAGGAAAAACGTTAATGTCAACTAGCAAGCTTTGGCAAACTATGAAACTTCTTTTCGCCTGGTTTTTTATATCAGATGGTCAAAACACAATAATAACAGTTTGCGTTCTATTTGGTAAAAAAAATCTTGGAATGAATGATACGGAACTCTCATTATTTGCTATAATTGTTCCTATATGTGGTGTAATAGGTATATACCTATTACTTTTTGTAC